GATACCAAAGCATAACCTAAACTACCATTCAACTTCAGGTAGCAACGTTTGCGGCCTGGAGTTCGCGGTTGTAAAAGTTAGAAGAGTCAGAATTATAACCCTGTTTAACGTAACCACAGTTCACTCCCACTCCTACAACAAGCGGTCCTTTGGCCTGCCTGAGATACTTAAGCACAGCAGCAGGAGAGGCTAACGTAACCTTATTAGCAAAAAATAAAAAAAACGCCAAACTCCAGCTTTAATCACGTTATAACCAAGCAAAATTCACCTTGCTTAATATAAAACATACTTTGGTAAATTATTTACCAAAGTATGTTTTATATTAAGCAAGGTGAATTTTGCTTGGTTATAACGTGACCGTTTTACTAAATAGCAAAGTAAAATACACAAAAATACTTACCGAGGAATGAACGTCAAGTTAAAGTCAGTAACGTAAATGTATCATCATCCCCACCGGTGTTGCAGCCCTAATGAGTCACGTTCAAAGATGAAGCGGTCTATACCTGAATATAAAAAAACCTTATGAGTACAAAAAGTGATAGCAAATCATATTATGATAAAGCTGGATGCACCTAAACCCGTGCAGTACGTACATTACTCCTCCATAGGAGGTGGTGCTAGAACTACCGTCAATATAAATGACTACACAAATTAAATAATGTCTGCAAGTTGCAGAATTTGAAGGACTGTTTACCTATCAACATTTACTCATTCTCTATTATATAATTAAGCAAAATGAATTAATGGTTATTAAACCTTTTCATTTTAAATCTTTTGATTTGTCCAGCTCAGACTTATAGTTTTTATTAGATGCTTTATTTAAAGTAACTCTTGTGAATACTTAAGAATCTAAAAACTATACACGTTTTGTTTGTATAATGAATAATTTAGCCATTAATTTAGCATTTAACATTGACTTTAAATAGAGCAGCCTTACTGTAATTACTTCTCATTCTCATTACTTCTCATTGCAGCTGGATACAAAGAAAACACTAATTTCAATACATTTCAAATCTGCTTACGTATCATACTAGTGTTTATAGTACAAGGTCATCAAATAAGATATTATTAGTCACTCCTTCAATAAGGACAGAATTTGGTAAAACATCTTTCTCCTATTATGCACCACATGTCATGTAAAATCAACCCTTACAGAACAGTGCCATTGTTTTTCATTTGGTGCCCTCATGTTTATTTTTCATTATGTTTTTTTATTATGTGTGATGTTATTGATTTTTAGCCTGTGTGTTAGGCTTTGATGTTTGTGAGACTTGTGTTCTAGTAGTTGTTTGTTTCATAGTTTTTATTGGTTTTTATTGTATGTGGTTGTATGTCCATTGTCTTAGTATTTTTGAGAGACTTGTATTTTGTAGTTATATGCTTCATTGTCTTTAGTGTACTTGGTAGTATGTCTATTGTCTTTAGTCTACTTGTAACTAGCCGCCATTCTTGGCCAGGACTCCCTGGAAGAAGAGTTATTGTAACTCAATGGGACCTTCCTGTTTAAATAAATGATAAATAAATAAATATAAATATATATTGGTTCCAAATATCGGCTATCGGTAATCATTAACTAGCAATAATCAATATCAGCATCGGCCCTGAAAAACCAATATCGGTCGATTCCTAATATAAAGTACAGATATTTTATGGGTTTCACTGAAATAAAGGTACCTGATTATGAGAAAGATCTCGGTGTGTATGTTGATGCTTCCATGTCCCACTCTCGCCAGTGTGGGGAAGCAATAAAAAAGGCCAATAGGATGTTGGGTTACATCTCTAGGTGTGTGGAGATTAAGTCAAGGGAGGTGATGTTACATTTATACAGTAAAATTCCTTGGTAAGACCCCACCTAGAATATTGTGTGCAGGTTTGGTCACCATACCTTAAGAAGGATATTGCTGCCTTAGAAAAGGTACAACTGAGGGCTACGAGAATGATTCCTGGTCTTAGAGGAATGTCTTATGAGGAGAGGTTAGCTGAGCTGAATCTGTTCAGCCTTGAGCAAAGGAGATTAAGGGGGGACATGATCCAGGTCTATAAGATTCTAAGGGGCCTGGATGCTGTTCAGCCAAATGGCTATTTCAATATTAGTTTAAATAATAATAATAATAATAATAATAATAATACATTTTATTTAAAAGCACCTTTCAAGACACTCAAGGACACTGTACACAACAAATGATAAAAGAACAAACATAAAGAACTCATGGCCATAAGTGGAAATTTTAAATTGAATTTGAGAAAACACTTCTTTACACAGTGTGTAGTTAGAGTATGGAATAGTCTTCCTGCTAGTGTACCCTGGGTTCCTTTAAATCAGAGCTAGATAAGATTTTAACAACTCTGAGCTATTAAGTTCTCCCCAAACGAGCTTGATGGGCCGAATGGCCTCCTCTTGTTTGTAAATTTCTTATGTTCTTAAAATGGTTTCCATATCAATATTTTGAGNTTCACTCCCACTCCTACAACAAGCGGTCCTTTGGCCTGCCTGAGATACTTAAGCACAGCAGCAGGAGAGGCTAACGTAACCTTATTAGCAAAAAAAAAAAAAAAATGCCAACTCCAGCTTTAATCACGTTATAACCAAGCAAAATTCACCTTGCTTAATATAAAACATACTTTGGTAAATAGCAAAGTAAAATACACAAAAATACTTACCGAGGAATGAACGTCAAGTTAAAGTCCGTAACGTAAATGTATCATCCTCCCCACCGGTGTTGCAGCCCTAATGAGAAAATGCCTTTTTCAAAATGGTAGACAAAGATTAGTAAAGCGTGTTCTCGCACATGCTTAGTGGGCGGTTCCCTAAACGAACTAATTTACTTTACATTAATGAATCTCATATGTGAAACTATTAAAACTTTTTGTGTTACAGCTATTAAATATACATGCATATTTTTAAAATTGATATATTTAAACAAAGCAAACTATATTTAAATATGTCATATTTAAGAGGGGCTTGAATCATTTTTTTGAGTGTACATTTAGTGTTCACTGTTGTAAATGCTTCCCCTTTCCCCCAACAGGATATATGAAAGATTACATAAAAATGAAGAAATTTCTCTAATTGTTCTTTGTTGGGGAAAAAAAATAAATGAAATTTGCAACAGAATCAACCAAAATATGTGTTTGCGTACACATCTCTCACAGCTCTACCGTCCATGTGGTCTTCCACTGCTAGGCCCTCTTCCCATTGCTCATCCTGCATCAATATTGGCATACGCTCCTGCTGCAGTATTGCCACATTATGCAAAACTGCACAGGCTACTACAATGTCACACGCTCTGTCTGGTGTAACTCTGAGATGCCGCAGGCAGTTAAACCTGGATTTTAACTGTCCAAATGTCATTTCAATGCGTGCCCTTGTCTTAAAATGGGCATGGTTGAAATGTCTCTCTGCTTGTGTTGCAGGATCTGTATATGGCGTGAGAAGAAACGGTAGACATGGGTATCCTCTGACACCAAGCAGCACACCAGGAAAAATTCCTATAATAGAAAGTAGACACATTAGACTGTAGTATAATAAACTATAGTATATATGTGAATTTTAGTTGACTTGCCTTGTCTGAGGCTTTGAGCCAGTGAAGACTCGCGAAAAATTCTGGCATCATGTACTAATCCTGGCCATTTTGCCACAATGTTTGAAATTAGATGTTCAGCAGTGCATACCATCTGAAATATTTTAGGAAATGGTAATGACATACACTCACCTAAAGGATTATTAGGAACACCTGTTCAATTTCTCATTAATGCAATTATCTAATCAACCAATCACATGGCAGTTGCATCAATG